TGAAAACATGTTATGTGTACAATTACATAAAATATTTAAATAACGCAAAATTTATTATCTAATAAATTTCAATACTGTTTTTAAAATGTAGAAATAATAAATAATATAATCTCAAATTAATCAAATTTATTTGAAATATAATTCAGAAGTAAAAATAGGTGTAATATGTTAAAAATAAAAAACTTGAGCAGTTGATTATAATTTAAAAATTGACATTAAATTTAAATAATTAATAATATTCAACAAATGTTGTTTATTAGATATTTTCTCTTCCTGCTGAAGAGACTTGTATAGTTTTTGATGGTCTGTACTCTATTTTTCTCCTGTAGCACATTTTGAATGCTGAGACCACTCATAAATACGACCACATTAACAAAATAACAAATATAACTCCAATTTCTTAAGTTAACAATTAGTCTGATCTATTGGAGGACACATTAGTTAACAATTTCTCAAATACCTTTGTGCAACCAAACTCATAGTCAGAAAATATAAAAATGAATTAGTTTGATAACCAAATCACTAAATAAGCTAATTCACTTTTGTATCTCCTGATGATAAATTTGTTTCCTGAAAATATTCAAGAAACTGTCACATAATGTAAGTGTGCTCCGATAAAGAAAATTTTTGGTATTGATTTATACATAGTCAGAAGAGTAAAAGATTTACTTCTTTTACATTCAATATTTTGTTTAATGGATTAAGCAATTAATTTTTCATATACAATTGAAAGCTATTAATTACAAATAACTGAATTTTATAATATTCTTACAAAATCACACTAATTCCTTTCAATATGCTATTAAATTTAATAAATACAAAAATAATATTTATGTATTTTAAGCACAATTACAATTATATGCAACTATTTAGCTGGTTAAGTATTCATGCAGATCAATAATTCCATGTATACAAAAACAACAGCAATTTAGCAAACTAGCAACATGATGTTTGCATGCTAGATGCATATGATCACGAATCATAAATATCTACATTCTTATATATTACAATATATATTTATATATGCAATGAACAATTTTTGAAAATACTTTTGTACAATTTATTTTATCATATCTATCATGCACTTAAATAACAACAAATTATATCTTTTCTAATGAAAATGCTTTATTCTAAATTTTTTTAAAATTTTAATCTTTTCAATAAAATGTAAGATAATTGTATTTAAACAACATATACTCTCAATAATTTTTCTCTGGGCAATGCAGAATATTCATTAAAAACTTTTCACTTTCATTAATCTAATATTAATTTTATTTCTGATGGACATATATATTAATTTGCATAAAAATAAATCAAAATGTTCAAAGTGAACTGAATTCAGCAATGTAGATTTAGAATAAACTCCATGTTGGATAAATATGTCTGTACTTTTTAATTATTTCAAATTAATTTTTCTGAAAGTAAAATATAAAATACATTTATTTTAAACACTGTTTTCTCAAGATAAAATCAAAGATAAAAAAAATCGTGTGTGTTTTTTACCTCCTCCTGTTTCCTGATTCAGTTTGGTCACAAGATTTATTTTTTAAAATTTAATAAAACTTTATAAAAAAAAAAATTCCTCTATAGTATAACAAAATACAAATATATACTTCACTAAAGAGAAACATTAAAGACAAAAACAAAAAATCTAAATTCACAAAAGCAAAAACATTATGATTAACAGTATGAGAACATCATGATCTAATGTAGTTTTAGGAATAATTTTACTTGAAACTTTTTAGAACATCACATTGAATTTGCAACAAAACTATTTTAAATATGATTAAATATGTATTAAATACAGTAAATTTATTTTAAAGTTAATATTTACTTTTAAAAATAAATTTACTAAAATCATCTCTTTCTGTTTATAAGATAAACGTAGACTTGTAAATTGGAGATTTAATGCTAGAGGACTATTAATCTGATCAGATATTTTTACAAATAATAATAATTGAGATATATTTTCAAAAATACTGAATTTGTTAATATATATTGAAACTAAAAAAATGTATACACACAAATTATGTTAAAAAACATAGTATTGTTTGAAAAGTAATGAGTATGTAACTTTTCTTTCTTAACTTTAAAAAATCTTGAACTTTAACCAATTTCATCTTTAAACAAATTATATCAATATTTTCACAATTTAGAAATAAGACAAATAGAAAGTTATATGGTTTTCATTCTACATATAAGAATAAAAATTCTACATAAAGGAAAAAAAAATAATAATACTTATACATTAAGTTAGAAAATTAAGAACAAATTAAATTAATTGTCTAAAACAAGTAAAAATGCTATTTTAGGCAATTAATTTTTAATTTCTTTAGTCTGTAACTAAATTACAGAGGAAAATCGGATGCAATATTCATTAAAAGTAATTTTATTACTCATGAAAGAATTTAAACAATTCATGAAAAACAAAAATGCCTAGGATACTTCAGAATAAGAGAATTAAAGCTCTGCAGTTTAAAAACATTCAGATTGATTTTAAAAATATCATTTTAAATAGCATTTAAATATATTTGAAAATTTTATAAATTTAAATATATAATATTTAAAAAGAAAAAATTATATAATGATAAATATTATATATTATAAAAATTCTAATCAATAATAGTCAGTAGAGAATATAAATTTGGAATTAATAACTTAAAAACTGTGGGCCATGTCCTTTGAATGTTGCATTATATATTGTATGTGTAAATGTAAAATAAAATTTACATATAAAGTTAATATTTTTTGCAGTTTTAAAATTAAAACATGCAAGAAACGTTTAATATATTTAAAACAATTAAAACTTTAAGTAAAATCATGCACTATTTACACCAAACTGACAACACAAGCATAATTATGCAAAACCCATTTTTTTAAATAGTGAGGCAAATTACTCATTGTTATTTTTTACAAACATGAAAAAAATCATGCTGAAATAAGATGAACTAAATAAACATTCAGTTATCAAATCTATTAATGTGCTGCTTTATTATATTATGTAGAAATAAATAAATATTCCAGTTTTCATATATTTATTTACTATGTCTACTACTTGTTCTTTATACTCAAGAAAATTAACACTAAAAATATAGGCAAGGAACATGACCTATGTTTTTTATGGCATTATACACTATATATTCAAAGAAAAACATATATGTACAGTATATGTTATCATCATCTTCATAATTTAATTTTTTTAAATCTGATTTGAATGAAGTTTAAATAATGAATTTTTTTAAAGTTATGTACAAAGTTTAACTGATTCTTATTAATTATTGTCTTTACATGTATAACTAACTTTAAATTAATTAATTAATTAATTAATTGACTTTTCTGATTTTCAAAGAGAAAATAAGCATATTTGGATTCAATGCCATATAATTATTATTTTAAATTATATATCTTAATAGGTTACAACTGGATGCATACAATAAAAATACAATAATCAACTTAATAACAATTTTCTAATAACTAACTGCTAAAAGTTATTAAAAACATTAGTCAGTTATTAAATAAATTGCTGGAATTTAAGTTGATTATTGTATTTTATTTTATTGTATCTTATATCTATTTTTAAATAGTTTATATCATTTAATTGATGATAATATATGATAATGAAAATAATAAATATTAGTTTTATCATCATGTTAATAGTTGAATTTTATAATTATTTACTATAATTTTTTAAATTTCATTCTATTCTAAGATTAACTGTTTTATACATTTTTTTTTGCTTTTACATTTATTTTATTTTATTATTAATTAAAAAAAAACATTCAATTTTGTTCTAACAATTTTGAATATTATAATTTTCACATGATAAAATTCTGATATGTAGTTTTCATATACAGACTTCTTTATTTAATAATTAATAAACTAAGTTATTACATTTTTAATATTCAACAGCTGCTGAGAAAATTTTCAATGCTACAAAAATATCAATAAATTTCAAAAAGATATAAAAGCTCTTTAGCCTAAATGACTATGCCCCTTTACATTTTTATTATAATTCCAGTTCTAAGAAATGTTGCAATTATTGTCTTGTATAAAATGCACTTCTCTCTAATTTAATCATAAACAACAGCATAATAGTAAAAAGGTGTTTCAAATATATAACTATATACTTTTGTTTGTATATTCATTTCAAAAAAATTAAATTTTTAATACAATTTTTTTAGGTTTAAATCATTGCATTTACTTATTTATTTCTTTAACAAATGTGGTAAAATAACTGTAAATAAATATAATTTAATTGAAATTACAATTCATGCCATTCCAGTATGTCAGAAAGATATAATAATATAAGATATCTGCAGTTGAAACTACAATACAGTAGAGCATCAATTATCCAAATCAATTGGAGCTGGGGTTGTTCGGAAAATCAATTTTTTTGGATAACCGATTATGTATGAAAAAATATATTAACCTATCCCATCTTGAAATTTGTTCAAATCCTGGCACGTCCTTAAGTACACTCTTATGGTCACACCAGCAAAAATAATATTGGAGTAGCCCAAGACATAGCCAAAGATTGCAACGCCACAGCACTAGCGGAAATTTAAATTTGCCGACTGGAAAGCTTTCAGTTAATTGCGTTTCAGTTGATCGACATTTAGATAATCGATGCTCTACTGTATTTCAAAAATATAGAACCAAAATCAAACTATTATGTATTTTTTTTTATGATTTATCATCAAAATATTGAAATTCATCTTAATAGTTTGACATATGTTATGATTTGAAGACTAATTTCCAACACATGTTAACTTTTACATAACTGCATTCAAAATAATATTGTATAACTTTATATTTTAATCAACATATACTGAAACCATATTTTTTTAGGAAATACATAGGTATATTGAAAACTGTATTGAATATTTATTTATTTCTACAATTTTATAAGAATTTTTTAAATTAATTAATAAAGTACAAGCAAATACAAAAAGATTACAATATCAAACAATAAAACAAAGTTGATATTCTAGATTATTTACCTTTCACCTCATCATCTTCAAGTGTTGTGCTACTGTCAGTAGATTCTTTTACCTGTGATCCTTCTCCTTTTTTTGTCATAATGCTGCGACCTGTTCATTTTTTAAAAAAAAGTCTTTAATTATTGATATTATAACAAAATATGAGTCTAATTTACAATTTCTTTAAAATATGATAAAAAAGTCTATACAGGTATCATGAGCACTATATAATAATTTTAAAGCATTCAATACATATGATTAGGTACAAATTTATCTTGCTTATACTTTAGAAAATCCTCTAAATCTAAAAGTATTAAAATAACTGCAGATGCTTTTTTTTAATGTTTGCTAATATTGTTACTTATTCTCATAGAACTTCAGACATTCCATACCCAAAGGCATGCAGTTTTTCTACTTTTTCAAAGATTTATATTAATTTACATTTTTCTCTCAGAATTTAAACACAGGTTGGCTGTTGACAATAAGAATATTAAAATGAATTAATCCTTACAATTTATAAAAATTAGTGAAACAGTGACTTAAATTAATATGTGGGCATGATTTATGTAGGAGTTACATTTAGGAAAATGTGCATAAACAAGAACTTGCACAATGTAGATATACATCACTTCCATATTTAAGGAACAAATCTTCTGGAATTTTAATTATCAAGTTTACCTTACTTAAATCAAGAAAATCTTTAAGTTAAATAACATCTGTAACAAAAACTTATCTTCTCTATAAAAAAACGTTCAACAGAAATGTAAATGCTAAACATTGATTTTTTTCATTACTTTTTAACTTCGTATATGTATGAGTATTTTAAAATCAGGCATAAACATATTACACAAGTAAAAATTAAAATTAATGCTTTAGATAAGACTTATTTGTTGTTCTTTTGTATTATAAGATCATATTATTTTAAAATAATGTATAGATTGTATAAATCATGATCTTACCCATATATTTTTGTATTTTAATATTCTGTTAATTAGTCATACCTGATTTGCCTGAACTATTGGGAGTTAATATTTAAAATCATTTATAATCTTAATTGATGTTTATTTAATTTGCAGATTAGTGGTTTGTTCTTTTTTTCTTTTCTTTTTGTACTCGCAAGGGAACTGTCGGAGCATATTTTAATAAATTTTAATAAAATTTAGTTAATAATTACATTAAAAGTATACAAACTCTGATTAACACTTTATAATAAATTTGTAGTATTCACTAACAGTTATTAGCAATCAAATGTCATACTATTTTATAGTAGTTTAACACAAATATGCAAATTTTTAGTAGTGAAAGAGTCTTGGAGGAAGACGATGCTATTATATTTAAGAATAAATTCTAGAATTTTCAAAACTGGGAGAAGAATTAAATGCAAATATTTAAAACATTATAGCAGAATTTAAACATTTATGTGATAATGTCGGGCCTACAGAAGAGATTTGTAGGCCTATTATTTCGGACATTGATAAACAGGTAGCTAAACTCTTTTTTAATGCATTTAGCGATATTTTAAGTACTTATGTGAGTAGAGATGACAAAGAGTTTTGTCAGATGAAAAATAATAATTTGATTTAAAATATTTCATATGAAAAAATAACACATCTGCTTCAAGAAAAAGAAATTGATAACGCAGACACTGACTGTGAATATTCAAATGATGATGAAAAAGTTGATAAGAATATAATCTGAACAAAATGAAAAAAAGAAATTCTTAACTTACATAGGAAACACCTAAAATGGAAATTACACATATTACAGCAGAAAGGAGCTGAAGAATTAAAACATTTTAGCGATTTATATAAATGTAAATCCAGACTGCACAGCAAGGTGTATAATATAAACTTCTATATAAATGGAGAAAACATAGAATTGAAGCATTAAAAATCATTAAAGAACATACTAAACAAATGTTTGACAAAGCTCGAGGCAACTATAAAATTGTTAAAGGTTATCAATTAAAAATATGGGCATTACAGAAATTTCTTGAGGTGAAGAGTTCAATTAAGTTTACAGCTAGTGATTCCTGGGTTGCAAAATTTAAAAAAGAATACAGATTAGTATCTCGAAAAATTACTATTTCTGTTTTATTTACAAGTTTTGTAAACAAAAAGGATATTTTACACAGCTTTTACTAAAACGTAAAAGCTGCGAAATTTCAAACAGTAAAAAATTTACTGCCATCTTATTTGCATAACTTCATATTCAATATGGATCAGTGTGGTTTTTCATACAAAATGATTTCACCAAGAACACTTTCATATAAAGGAGAAAAAAATACTATTGGATTTGTACATTTTCCAAGTAATAAAGTTAAACATTCCTACACTGTTCAATATTTAATTAATGCTAATGGACAAGTTGTAGGTAATGTATTTATTTGCTATCAACAGGCTCGTGGAACCTTTGAACCTAGAGTTCAAACGTTGCTGTTTAATGCCCCAAATGTAACCGTTACAGCTAGCTCATCTGTCAAATTATCTACAGCAATTATTACAAACTATGTAAAAGATCTATTATCTCCAAATATAACAGAAAACTCATTATTAATAATTGGAGTGGACAATTAAATACAGTAGAACATCGATTTTCCGAATCAATTGGGGACTGGGGTTGTCCGGATAACTGATATTTTGGATAACTGATTTATGTACGAAAAAATAGTTTAACATATCCGATGTCGAAATTTTTCTCCGTTGCGTGTTGCTTAGCGTTGAATTTTCGTCGATGTTAAGCCTAACAAAGACTACTGTATCGTTAAAAATTATTTTTTTATTTTGTACAAACAAAATAAATATATTGAAAAATATAAAAATAATAAAAAATTATACTTCAGATGTTAATTTAGTATCAAAAATGTAAAATATTTGAGTAGCCCAAGACATAGCCAAAGATTGAAGCGCCACAACACTGGCAAAAATTTAAATTTGCCAACTGGAATTCTTTCGGATGATTGACTTTCGGAAAATCGACACTCTACTGTATTAATATTTATAATACAGTATTTCAAACATCTACAAATCAAAATTCATGTGAAGTACTAATTATTCCACCAAAGTGTACATCTATATGCCAACCTTTAGATGTTGGATTTCATAGACAAGTAAAACTTTTAGCTAAAGAAATTTTAAATGCTATACAATTATTCTGTAATGATTCTTCAATGAAATTGTTCTGGACAACTAGAAATGGCATAATAAAATTACATTCAATTCTTCATCAATTATCTGCGCCAATATTTAATACTTTGATTAAACATGCATGGTTTGCTTCTGGATTCATACATGAAAATGTCAATTCTTAAATGTAAAACAAGTTTGTTTTTCTGTTTTAAACACTGACAGTTTAAATTGTGTTAAGAATAATTGCCAAAATCTTCAATTTGTTACCGGTTGACATTGTGCACAATGTCAACCGGTTTTTTGTTTATTTTGCTTTGTTGAAAATTATCACGTAAATACTTGCCCATCTAATAATTTGTGAATGTAGTAACTTTTCATTTATCTACATATTACATATCTATTAAAATGTATTTACTTAATATGTTTTGATTATTTTCTTCATATTTATTTTATTGTTAAAGTAGTATATATATCTAATCTTTCATAACATTTATTTGAGTTTATTCCTTATTCTACTCTGTAAATGTAATACAGAGATATCTCAGTTTTCATCAATAATCCTTCCAAAAACAATCAGCAAAATCCAAAACCAACGAAAACCAAGGCAATTATTTCAATATGAATCAATGTAAATCAAATTAATTCATTCTAGATATTCCAAAATGCATATCAATAACACATTTTATAAGGAATAAATATAGTGTTTAATACTAAAAACAATAAGAAATTAATATAAAATGAATATAAAACACTAATATGATGGTCTCCAAAACAGAATCGCCATCTAACTGTCTTTGATTAATCAAAATTAATAATAACTGTTCAACATCTTCAATTGTTTGTGATTTCTGTTTCTTTGCACATTTATGCCTTTCATTAGATTAGTCTCCTTTATTGCTTCCTTTTTCGCCACAACAGAACTTATCGTGGATGGTGACTTCCCATACAGTACATGTAGCCGATTTCAGCAATCTTAATGCCACTCTCGTATTTTTTAATGATTTCCTTCAACTCGATTGTGCTCCTGGCCTTCTTCTTTGAAGGGCTACTGGCTCTGGAAACTTTCTTTGGTACCATGATGAAGCTAAAAGGAAGGAAAGCAATGGAATTGTTGGCTAGAAATGCAGAGTAATGCTCATACAACAAGAAACAATGCCACACTGAGCAGAAAAATGCGTGGATAGCCCTTTGTTTTCAGAAAATAGAAATGAGGTGACATGGCATGCTGACGAAATCCGAGACAAATTTTTTGTGAAAAAAATCGACCAAAACCAACAATAACTGAGATATTACTGTATCATCATCTTTTTCCACAACCCTTTCGCTACTAAAAATTTGCACATTTGTGTTAAACTACTATAATACTTAAACTACTTAAAATAGTATGACATTTAACTCTGATTACTACAAATTTAAGATAAAATGTTATTCACTAAGAGTTTGTATACTTTTAACATAATTATTAACTAAATTTTGGCTTAAAAGACACTGAAAGTTTCTTTGTCAGTTTGATTCAGACTTACATTACATGATAAACATTTATGTACCAACAAACTTGCTAATTAGTCTACTATAGACAGCATTCAAAGCATGCACCATCAGCAATGATGCACTTCTGGATTCACCAAATCTTGAACAGTAAACATTGAAAAGGTTTAATTATCAGAATTACAGGCATTGACATTGCCTGTAATTCTGATAATTAAAGATTTTCAAGTAACTTTTTTCAAAAAACCTTTTCAATTCAACCTTTCCAAGAAATATGTGAAATATATGAAGCCAACTACAAAAACAAAAACAGTGCAAGAAAATATAAATAACTGATAAATTGTACCACTTAAGTTACATTTTTCAATTTTCATTTTAATCATTTTGTTTATCACAGCAAGTAAATTCATTTTTGATTAAGTTTTTTCCAGTTTATTAATATTTTAATAAATTCAGGAAATCTGTTCAACAAATTTAATAATTGTATATTTTTGTAATAGATAACAAGGTTTATTAATAAATAATAATTAAAAGAATGCTTTTTTTTATTTCAGAATTGTATAATTTTATAATTATTTTTATATAATAAAACATCTTATTTTAAACTTTTAATAGTTTGGAAATTATAAAAATATATTTTTTGAATTGCCAAACTATTAACAAATATTTATTACAATTTAATCATTTTTAATAATATCTTTATTTAAAACTTTTTCATATTGTAATGTACAGTACAAGTACCTATCATCTGATGCAGTTGATTATTTATAAATATTGCTAACATCAGCAAAAGGATATGACTATCACAGTATTAGATATATCTATCATCTTATCTTTATGGCTAATTATTTTAAAAATTTATTTATTATTATATTGCAAATGTCATGCTCAGCTGGTACTGGTGCCCAGACTAAAGTCAAGGCATAGCTAACCAAACAAATTACAATGCGATTTTCAAATCTCGCCATTCGTCTTTTGTTTAAGTGCCATGCAACTCTTGATTACTCACTTCCCCCACACTATTGTTCAGCTTACATGTTCGGATGTGTTGTGCAGAATCGACACACAGCTACAATTTATTTTGTGTTATTTATTTCTGTGTTTGTTATATCTACGGAGACTTGAGAGACTATGTGGTGATTTGTTGTAACCGTGAATGAATCAAATGATGAGATAAGATTAACGAGAACATTTATTAGCTTACATACATCTGACTTGGATTTTACACAAATTGCAAAATTATACCTCAACTTACATGAATTCGACTTACACGATTATCGCTTGGTCCCACCTATCGCGTAAGTTTGGGGTATTACTGTATCTAGAAACTTCCTAATAATGTGACATATGTTCAATATTGTGGTTTTTTATAGTGCAATGTATATGTTTTTATTAAGGCTTAACGTTTCTAGACTTTTGTGTAGTGTATGTGGTATAACACTGGTAGAAGAGAGAACAGGTACAGTACAATAAATACCTTATTCATCCTCTACTACATCTGTCTTATTTCTTGAGTGAGTGGACTGTACTTGCTGATTTTTTCACTGTGAGAATTTTTTGTTATGAGTGTTTGGAACGGATATATCTATTAAATAAGTGATCTTACTTTATTATTATTATTATTATTAAATAATATAATTTTTGTGATAATAACCATGTAAAAATATAAATCTTAGTAATTTAATTTTATCAAATCTTTTAATAATACTTACTAGAAAAATTCCTTGTTGCTAACATTGTAGTCAAAATAGCTCCCTGGAAAAAAATTCATTTTTACTCTACACATTTAAAATGAATATACATTTTTAATGTTTTTATAAAATATATTTGTAAATATGCACATTAAATATGTATTATCATCATATTAAATACAATATCATGTTAAACTGATGAGAATACTTAACACATTGATTCTCCATTTTGTAATGTTATGGAGAATTTGTGTTATGAAAATACACTATCATTTTTGTTCACTTTCTTAATAAAACTGAAACAAATCTACCATACAGTATGTCTAATATTTATTAAATTCTTTATGTTGTTTGTTTGTGTGTGTCACTAAGTGGATTTTTGAGGACCTTCACCCTAATAAACTGTTCAAATGGAAAAAGTTCTCACAAATCACTCTGTTCCAAGATTTTAGAGCAAAGAATTCAATTTTATTTTTTCTGTTCTATATTTGTTCTTTTGATTTAATTTCAATCAATTTTATTTAACTAGTTAGTAGTTAAACTTGATTGAATTTAGTAAATAAATTATTTGTATTCCTGAGACTATTATTCTATCTATAACAATATTTACATAAATTTATCTAATATAGTTTTTCATTAGCATAGCTGTTTCATTCTAAGAATTTCATGTAAAGCCATATAATCTTAAGTAGTTTAACATTTTCATTCAAATAAAATTATCTTTTAGGTAAACTGTGCCTTTCCTTACTTGTTGTTGAAGTCAAACTGATATTGATATTTCCTACATAATAACTGTGAACTGATTGAAATTCAAAATAAGATACTTACTTTAAGTTTTCGTCTAGCATTAAACTTCTTCAAACATTCCACAGTTTCTTGGCGATGAAGTGTAGAGGCAACACGCTCTCTTTGCTATTCAAAAATAACAAATTATTAGTAAACTTTTTACTAAAATTATACACATGATTTTTTTAAAATTAGTTTCTTAATTTTGTAATTCATTTAACTATTACTATTATTTCCCTGTACACTGTAAACTTACTTATAAAAAACGAACTTAATACAGAATTTTCTCTTTTCATTTTTGAAATGTTAATAATTTCTGTACTAACAGCAAAAAATTTTCTATACACTTGCACTTTGTAATTCATTATCATTAACTCAATCAATAGCTCTATATAATTTCAATGAGCATTACACAGAGTAAGTTATTTACTTAGTAAAAATTTTGTTTTTATTGATACTATGATTTAACAATTATCAAAATATTAAGAATCCTCATAATAAGTTTTATACACTCTTAGAACTGTGCCAGTGAATCTTTTGTCATTTGAATACTATATAGTGTTCGTGTATTTACACTATATAGTGTTCAAGGGACAAAATAAGTTTTATGCTTTTCTTGCATGACAGAATAATTGAAAGCAGCTTGCTGTATAAATACAGACTGAATTTGCAGGGATAATTCTTTAATAATAATCTCTGTTAATATCAAAATGAAATCAGATGAAGAATTAAACATATTTTTAAAATGGTTCAAAACTAGGAGCTTTACAAGTTTAATACAAATAAAACTTTCGCAACTGTTAAATTAAGAAAATTAGTTCTTAATACAACATTTACAATAATCTATCAAAAATTTTGGAAATAACTATTTCAACATTAATTTTTTAATTTAAGTATATATTTAAAATTAAAAATTTTAAATATATACCTAAATTAATATTTTAATTAAAATTTTTCTCATTTCATAAATTTAAAATTTTTGAAGTATTTAATAATCTATATTACAACACTGTAAACAATATATAGTAACCATTAACTTACACAAATCCAAGGGTGCTTAAGGGCTTCGGTTGCAGTTATTCGTTTTGCTGGGTTGACGGTCAGCATGCTGTTTATCAGATTCTTAGCTTCAGGAGTCACCGTATCCCATTCAGGAGATGGATACTTGAAAATTAATTGATATAAAATATGAAATACAAAAAATATGCTGTGATTTGAAACAAAAATTAAAATATTTTAACTTACATCATAAGCCCCAGCCTTGATCTGTGCATATAACCTGTGCTGATCTTCATCCCAGAAAGGTGGATAGCCCACTAATAATATGTATAATATAACCCCTAAAATAAAAAAATAAAAAAATTAAATTCTGAAATAGCTTATGACTTTAACAAATTAAATTCAATTAATCAATCTTTATTAGCAAAAAAGGAATATTTCCCTGTTGCAGGGAGTAATACATATGTTATCAATAGATAGGAATTCACAAAATTATTAAAACAGTTTTTTAAATTATTTAACTTATTCAATTATTTTACAGTAGGTTCCATATAAACCTGTTCTGAGCATAGGAAAATAATATGGTTTTATCACAAGTATTCTTACAAAAACAATTACATTGTATATAATGTTACATGTTAGGTTTCATTATCTAAAGTTTATTTGCATTCCTATAATTTTAGTAAAACAGTTATACAGTTTATAAAGATCTTTTTTGTTAAAGTTATTTAAAGTATTTCTAAAATCGTGAGATAAACTGCACTGGAATATCCGCAAAATATCACATGATTCACACATGCTTACAAGTCCTTCGCAATTTTGCAATAGATGACACATTGAGAAATCCTCAGATTTACACCATATGCACATAAGTGTTTGAAAACTTTATATAAGTGTTACCAATAAAAAGTGAATATTTGTTGAGTTGTAATTGAGCTATTGATCTTTTCACATTGATGTTTACTGATTTGGTCATATATGGTTGAGATGATGGTATATTTAATATATTTATATACCAAGGATGATAATTACTTTGGCTTAGGTTAACTTGGTCTTTATTTATAGATTGAGATATTGCAGAATGTAATAACAGTGTGTAGCCATATTTTCAGTCTTGTAAATTATCTTTAAACAACAAATCTGACACTCCGAATGAATTCAAGATTTTATTAAATTTGGTTTGCCAAAGCTGTTTGGTTTTTGATTTTTTACTTTGTTTGATTGTTTCCTGGTGTAAGAAGGTTATATTGTTGCCACTTTTGAGTTTTAGCTGGTAATATAATTAAATTCTATGTTTTAGAAAAAAGGGAAAAAGCCAGATGCGATTGGTTTCATGGCATATGGCATAACCACGAACAGTTCTTTCTAAATGAAGTAATCTTTGAAGGAAGTAGATATGGAAACATTCTAATTTATATAAATAGTCTAGATCCCATATTGGACTTGCACAATATAATTCAATAATTAATCCAATTATTTATAGTTTCATGCGTATGTACAAATTTGATATTTCAGATTCTTTTTCTGAAATTTTACTATTATTTTGAATTATGATAATTTTAGTTTTTGTAGGATTTATTGTTAAGTGAATCACTTTAAAGTATAAATTTAGTTGATTAACTTTTCTTTGCAAAGAGACTTTAGTTGGAGCTAAAATTACCAGGTCATTGGCAAATAGACTATAATGGAAGTTTGTTGCTAATTTCGATACCATCAGTAGATTTTTGAAAAAGCTGATGTATTCCGATTAAGTAAAAACTAAATAAGGTGAAAGAGGATCTCCTTGAAGTATGTCATGTGATAGGTCTAGTGGAGGAGATATAGAAATTAATTAATTAAACAGGGAAAGACTATATTATATTTTGAAAATAATTTTAATATCGTTGATGAGAATCATTCACCTGCTCCTTTAGCTTTCAAACTGTGCACCAGTAAAGAAATGTAGACTGAATCAAAGGCTCTCTGAATATCTATGAAAGAGGCATATACTTTTCTATGTTTTTTAGTTAAGTGTAGTTGTATTAACGATAGTAATAAGAAAATTGAAGATTCTGTTCCTTTATTTCTGATGTAAGCATACTGAAATTTGGCTTCAAACTCCATTTTAGTCCATTGTTGAAATTGACTGCTAATATTGTCATGAAACATTTTCTCAGAGTTGAAAGTAAAGCTATTGGTCTGTAGTTATTTGAAGATAATTTATCACCCTTTTTATATATCATAGTAAAATGGAGTTCCATGAGACTGGTATGAGATTGCATTATACATTGAGTTAAATAAATACAGTAGTTTTATTCTTGCTTGGTAAGGTAGTAATTTCAAGAATTTAGTTGGGATATGGTCACTGCCCAGGGTCAAGTTACTTTGAGTTTTGTTAATGAAATCATCTAATTTTTTAATTGTAAATCTGGAGTCTAAATATTCATTGTAGGAATCAATACTAGATATTAGCAATGGAATTGATTAAATATTTGGAAAGGCTGGTAAAAAATTTTCCATGTATCAAAATTTATTACTGAGATGTTTTCACTTAGATTTGAAGCAGAATTTTCTTATTGTAGACCAAAACAATTTACGAGCCTTGCTGTTATTGATTAAGGTTAATTCCAGATTTCCAAAATATTTTTTCTTTTTGGCCTTGAGCAAGTTATTGTAGGTCTGTTTAGCCTTCCTGTAATTAGTAAAGTTTAAATCATTTGAATCTTTCCAGAATAGTTTTAGATTGTTTTGCTTTAAGTTGTAGCAGTCAGAGTCATACCATGGTTTTTTAAATTTATTTTGCATATTAGTTACTTTATTTTATATCTGTTCATTATATGTAACATGAGTTTGTAAATTTCTTCATTATTAAAATCAGTTATTTCCATGATATTATTGAAATGTTTTTCAATTTCAGATGAGTATCTTGAAACATTGTAGTTTATCCTTTGGTATCTGTTATTCAGTTTATTTATTTTTTCTTGCGTAAACAATAAAAGTTTTGTCACTAGGAAAATAATCAGATGCATCAAACATTATTGTGATAAATTCCATACAATGGTCTAGTAGAAATTCTGAACATATAGTAAAGTTGATTGTAGATTTTCCATTGTGTTCTATGCAAGTATATTCTGCAGGATAATCAGGTTTCATGCACCCGTTTAGGATATACATTTTTTCGGTTGGTTATTATTTATATTAAATTTACACCCAGTCTATTGATGTTTGTCTTTTGATTGGCAGATGTTTTGGATTAAGATATTTGGGCCACTATACCAGGAGTCCATTACCTCAGCAATTCATGAATTAAAAGTCCCCTAATAAATGGGTATATGGTGTGGTGTGTTGCCATAATACTATTGTTTTGAAGGTTTATTTTAGTTTCTCTAGACAATCGGGCAGGATATAAGTGACCATCACTATCATTAAATTATTGTTTATGTTCTCAAGTATGGGTTTAATCATTGCAATTAGTAATAATATAAAGTTATCTGTTTTTTTTTTTTACTTGCAATATTTTACAATGTTCCTTTTTTATGAGAATGCATAGGCCTCCGCTTGGGCAATCTGGACCTGACGGTTTATGTGCCAGTACATTTTCTATTATAAAGTCATTAAAGAAATTTGATTTGTAGAACAATTCAAAGGTTATCCATGTTTCGGTTAAGCTGATGATGTCCGATTTAAATTAAAGTTGAAGAGAGTTAAATGAAAATATTTTGTTTTTTTCAGTCCTTGGCAGTTCCAATTCATTATAGAGAGCAATTTATTATCTATAGTTACTTTTTCTTGATGAAGTTTTCTTTGGTTTGTCTGATATCAGCTTTTCAATTTCATTGGCAAGGAAAATGGCAAAAAATTATTCGCATAAACTAATTTTTCTGTACCAGTACTATATGTTAGTCTATCTCTGCCTATTAACAAGAAGTCATTACATAGTTTTATCAGTTGATTTTGATTCCTCATTTCGGTATAGGTTGGAAGTAAATTTTTTCGTCTTTCTCTTCAGGCCTTTGTTAAGTCTGATGAAATCTGCATATTTTGCCAGTCTTTGAGCAAATTTTGATGTTTCTTTTTTATAAAGGCAGTAAAAACTTAATCGCGGGTATAATTATTCCTGAGTGTTAGAATTATAACTGGGTTAGATGTCTTATTTAATTGGATTATATCTAAAATATCTTCCTGTGACATAAGTTGTAAGTCCAATATTGATTTTATAAAATTATAAATTTCTAGTTTTGAGATATTTTTTGAGGTGGGATAATTATGCAATATTAATATTATTATGATGAAGTTCATTGACTAAAGCATCCATTTTAAATTGTATGAGTTCTTTTTTCATTTTTAAGTTATCGATTTGTTGTGTCAGATTATTAATTTGTCCTTCCATTTTTTGATAATATTCTTTAGTTTCATGAATACTATCATAAATCAGATCAAGATCCTTTTTTATGAACATAATTTGATTAGAAAGTCTATCATTGGAGTCATTAAATCTGAGATCCTGTTCCATAAAACTATCATTACAGTGCCCAGTGAATTGCTTGGATTGGTTAGTAGGGTAGAGTGTAATACGTCTGACTCACCTTAGGATTTCTGTGGTCTCTGTGATACAATATCCATATGGGGATCAATTACAGTTGAAGACAATTCTTGTGTGTCTTTATCTGCATATAAATTAAAGTTAGTTATAAGTTTAGTATTTGTCATAGTTGATTGGTCTTTTCTGCTTCCCAGTTTGCACCAAACTATTTAGTGATGGTCTTCCATGCTTTACAGGTGAGTGTTGCATTTTATCCAAAATTTAGTTTTTCTTTAAAGGATAATAGGATAAATTTAATTCTATTCACCTTTTAATGATTAAAAATATCTGAAGATTATGGATTCACAAGTTTTCTGAGTGTTGTTGAAGTGCAGAGAAAAAGTCACCAGCAGCCTCGACAGTCAAGACATGCCCCCACAAATCAAATTCTGATATAAGTTAAATTTTATTTTTTAAAATTAATATAAAATTAATTTAAATATTTTATTGATAAAAAATATTAAATAATATTTAATTTATCAAACAGTAAAATCAGTTTCAATCCATATTAAAGAAAATAAAACTTGACTCTTTACACTGATTTAACAAAAATTTTCTAAACAAAAAAACTGTATTTTTTCACTTTTTTTAAGAGATCATTTGTTTTCTTTTTTACTTTAAATATCATAATTAATTCTTCAACTCTTTTATTTCATTTACTTAAAATTAAAAAAAAAAAATAATAATGAACTAAGAACATACATTAGGATTAATTTACACAGAATATTTTATTTTCATTGTTAATAAACTTGCCTATGATCCCAAGATGTTATGAGGTTT